AAGCGGGAGGAATTAGTTCCAGCCGTGTTGCGACTCACAGTTAATAGGGAACTCGTGTCCTGGACCAAGGGTAACATGGATGCAGTTAATACTGGAAAAACTAAGATTTGGTGGACTTGACGTCAAGCACGGAGGAGGGCAGCCTGAAACGAATTTCAATGAAATAATGTTGAAAGCTAGATCAAAGCGAGGCGACGACGTGTAGTTCCGACCCACAGAGCTCGTAGCTGCAGTATTATAGTTAGAGGGGGGGGGGGAACATAAGATCAGATGAAGACCGAAAAATCATCACAAAACACCGAAACAGCGGTGTTTTTTCTGTTTCTGAGGGTGCCTTGAATCGTTTGTTAGGCGAGAGTTGTTGTGTCTTAATGTCATCATGCGCATCTGCTGTGCATGAAGTTGAAAAATGTACTCTTGATAACCACATCTTTTGAACGAACTGTTTGATGAAAAACATCAGATTTGACTGCCCCGTAACGAATTGTGCACGCTGGAGGGGTTTGCTGCCCCAGTTCACTGACACTTCCTCACTCAGCAGGGCTGCACGTATGGAGAGAATTGCAAATTCTACCATCCAGAAGGTAAGTGATTTAAAGTTTTTGATGTAATTGAAGACGCTCGACATTATTAAGAGTATAAGACCCTTTCATTGTCGCTTGAGGTCGCAATCATAGTTCTAAGGTGTGTGCTTTTTTTTGTTGTTTTTTGACATTTCGTGTTTGTTCAGGTGAGGAAGTAGCGGCTCATTATCAATATCAGCCGCAGTCCGTTCAGAATCAGCCCGCATCACACAATACACAGCAAGGCCATTGCAAGCAACACCATCAACAGCACTATGCACAGTAGTAACATTGGCCCAAACACTATCGCACCCATCATAGGCACGGTGCATGGCAATACAGATACATACAATACCAGGAAAAACAAAAGCAGCGAAAAGCACCAATGCACACGGCCTCCAAAGAGCTCATGGACCTCGGAACCGTCCATGGCGCCCATTCAGTATGCATACACTGAGGGCGATCTGAATGACTCCATGGACGTTTGGCCATATACTTCGGCCATAATTGTGGCTCCTGTTGTAGTCTGCTGCAATTACGTTCGCTGTTATAGTCTGGGGCGAGGCCCCCTTTACACAGTTGGGTTCACCACTTTTCTTTGTTATCGTCTTGATTTTGAAGAAAATCTAAATTTTATTTTAGAGTATATCTAGCATATCCAAGGCATTGTGCATAGCAACGGGAAGTAGAGCTGTGTTGACCCTGGATAACGACAGAGGTTACAGAAGAAACTTCTTTTTCATTTCCCCGGGAATTAAAATTATTATGTTCACACCTACGTTACGCCACAAAACTGCAGTTGTGTCGACAGTTTCGTGATTATGGGACAAGTCCTCGGTGGATCGGAAGGATATCGGTTAAAACAGGCTCAGTCCAGCCCAGCCAGATACGAGGACTTAAGGGGGTCATCACGGCAAATAATTCTGTAAAACCAATGTAAAACCTTGTGGACTCAACGTTACGCAAGGAGGAAAGCAGCTTGAGGAAATCAAATTTCAAAGAGATGGTTGCGACAGGTACATGAAAAACGAGGCCAGCACGCGCCGTTCAGACCAATATTACAGTCAGGGTCGGATTGTAGCAGATGGGCTGTAGACTAAAACTTATTTTATTGGTTGTAATAAAATCGGGGATGCATGTACAGAAGTGTAAATTTTACCAAGCAGAATTTAAGTACAATTCCATAACAATAAAAAGGTCGACGTTAATCAGACCCTTTCATTGCTGCTTCACGTCCCAATCCCAAGCTTGTGTTTATTTCTAATTGACATTTCGTATTTGTTGTTGTATTTGTCATTACGATTATCAGCCGTAGAATGTCCATGTGCAGCATTCCTCACACCATGCACAGCAAGGCCAACGCAAGCGCCATCACCCAATGAACTATGTTCAGCAGCCATAACATGAACACAATCCCAGTCATCTATGGCACCATGCACTGGAATATAGTATAAAAAACCGATGCCAACTGCTAGGAAAGAGCCACATCCTTATGAAGATGAGGGTGAGCACAACGAACCACAGAAGCACCGAAAAACACCGCAGCTCACAGCCTCCGCTGCGGCACTAATACATGTGACCGTGTAGGAAGAAAAGGCTATGCACACATCGGGGGCGTACATGGAGCCTATTCAGTGCGCACACACTGAGGTGTACATGTACGAGCCCATGAACCATTCTCCCTAGTCTCGTTTGGCCATGTTCTTGAGCCACAAATGTGTTTTCTGTTGTAGTCCGCCACAATTGTCTACCCTGTGAAAGTCTGGGTCCAGCCCCCCTTCGCACCAATGTTCAAAGAGGACATTGTGGAAGTAAATCTGACTTTTCGAATCGGGAAAGTTGAAAGAGTTTAACACCTAAAGAGAAATGCTGTGCACCGGCTTGTTTTGAAAAGAAGAAACTTTAAGAGGGATGTGTAGAATCACCAAAACCATAAAAATACGGCTGTTATACAAAGTATTTCCACAGGTAAAAGTCCAAGAGGGCATTGAAACTATGGGTCGTGAGCACTGTAATAGCACCGGCAGAAGTCCGTGACGTTGAAAACTTGTTTCTAGCTCCCATAATAGGAGATGATCCTCCAAACCTACTAGCGGTACGCCAAGACAACGTACAAGCATCTTGCCGACTCTGTCGCTTATTATTAATATTACTTTTATTATTTTTTGAACGGATTGGGAGAACTTCAAATACAAAGGATCAGTTGGGGAAGTGAACTGCCTGAAAAGAGAAAACATCGCGAGACCCACCAGGACTCGAACCTAGGACTTTCCTTGTCATTAGCAATGCTCTAACCACTGAGCTATGGGACCAGGCTGAATGTAGAAGGCGCTGAATGTAGAAGGCGCTGACAAGTTTTTTCACTCCAAAGGCAGCTCACAACATGTGCCACACATACTGATGGCACTTGGGTCTTTCTCCCTCCCCCAGGGGACCAACAACGGTAAGTTTCTGGACCCTACCAGAAGTGAAAGAAAAGTGATTAATTTCTGAACGGATTGGGAGAACTTCAAATACAAAGGATCATTTGGGGATGTGAACTGCCTGAAAATAGAAAAAATCGCCAGACCCACCAGGAATCGAACCTGGGACCCTGCTTGTCATGAGCAATGGTCTAACCACTGAGCTATGGGACCAGGCTGAACCTCACATACATTGAGTAAGACCCACAAAGAGATAATCATAACACTAGTCATGATAACTTGTATTGTGGCAACACTGGCCAACACTCAGATGCACTGCTTCTTCACACAGCTGAACAATTCTTCCTTCTTCTCAACGTTTCAGTCACTCTGACCATCTTCGGGAGTGTTGGCCAGTGTTGCCACAATACAAGTTGCTATAATGAAGCTGCGTGAAGCGTCGTTCCGAATTTATACTAGTTATGATGTTCCTGGTATATTCCCACGTTATTATTATTATTACTCATAAAAAGGACACACTTCAGGCTCATTACAAACATCTTGAAAGTTTTTGTCTTCACAAGTATACTTTCAAGCCTTCTCATCAGGTGAAATACAGCCAAGGGGAAAGGAACAGGAACAGTGGATTAAATACAGTAAGAAGGTGGTAAAACAGCGCAAAAAAAAAGAAAGAAAGAAGATAGCTAAAGTAAACAGCGAAAATTGCTATAATGACACAAAGGTGCAAATGCGAGAAAACTCAATAAGCGTGACATGTAGTGCGACATCAAGAGACAACCACTGGACATACATGTAACTAACGAGGTTTTGACGACCTACGTAACAGCCTAAGTGTGAATTTGATTTATTTCTGCTTGCAAAGGTTGGGTTTCTTTGTGTGGATGTATACAGCTTCCAAAACATTCAGCAATCTAGCACTGCGTACACGTGACACAATCGAAAAACAATCATCTGAATACACAGCACGACAATCAGGATGCTCAAACCAATGACTAGCAATGGACGACTCATACTTATCAGAACTAACATCAGAACAATCAGCATGTGCGGTGGACACATCCGATTTCACATTGCTAGTCGAGTGGACCCTAGCCGTTGCCTCTGTCTGTGCTTTAGTCGCTGCCATCGCCGCCGTTGCCGATCTTGTCACTCTTCTGGTTGATGCGGTTCCTGTCACTGCCACGCCAGAAGGTGTCTTGTCCGGTTGTTTTTCTGGTGGTCTAGTTAATTATGAGCCTGAAGTGTGTCCTTTTTATGAGTATTACCGCATTTTTGTCTCAGAGGAAACTGTTTATTATTATTATTATTATTACCTTTTTCTATAGTTATATTGTTGTTTTGTTCACAGGAGTCACATATCCCTGAAGACGCCATCTTGGGCGAAAATTTGGAAAGGAATTTGAAGTTTGGTTAGGAGAGATTTGGAGAGATTTTAATTTTTTTTGTAGCCAAGGACTTGCGGCCGTGGGCGGTAAAAATTTAAAAGTCATGACAGGGCTACAGAGGAGGTACGCCATTCTTATATTATTATTGTAAGGAATAATTGGAGGCGTATCCAATTTCGAAAGAAATGTGTCAACACCGACGCGATGCACACAGGCAGGTAGGCCAATTTTTTTAACCGAACGTTTTCGTTCCGTTCTCATCATGGGTAAATACAGGGAATAATGGAAAAATGTCAAATACAGCAACTTATAGAGCAAAAGCATAGATTGAGAACTCACGCTATACGTGTGGAAAAATATTTAAAACAGCTGAACAAGTCAACAACAGGGTGAAAGTGAAGAAATGACTAAAACAAAATGAAAACATCAATGAGAAGAAGCGTTCTTCTTTTTTTGATTCATGTGCATGTTCCTTTTCCTCGAACGAAAAATCTATTCTATTCGAACACCTATCACACCCACGCACCGTATGGATGGCATACGGGATAGGGTTTGTTGCCGTACCAAAGCATGTAGACTTCCAGCCGGAAGTATAAAAGGTCCAAGACAACACTGAAATATTTGTCTTGTGCGCTGTAACGTCCTGTTTACGCTCCCGTCCAGGCTCTTCGACAACACCCAGAAAACATGTCAGGGAGGCCAAGACTTTGCCGACACTTCCTCACTCGTCGGGGCTGCAAGTATGGAGAAAAGTGCAAATTCGTCCATTCAGAAAGTAAGTACCTTTCCACAGTGATTGAAAAAGTTGGACGTTATTTAGACACTTTCATTCTTGTTTCAGGTCTTAATCATAGTGTTGACGTGTGTTGCTTTCTTATTTACCTTTCGTGTTTCTTCAGGAGATGAAGTAGCGGTTAATTATCAATGCAAGCCGCAGTATGTCCAGAAACAGCAGCCCTCACACCATACACGGCAAGAACAACGCAAACACGACCATCCACAGCACTATGCGCAGCAGCAACATGGGCACAAACACGACCGGACCCATCACAACCATCCACGACAAGAGGCACGGCAATACAAGGTACAACAGAAGCAACTAAATGCACCGCAGCACACAGCCTCTGAGGAGCCCATGGACACATCGGAGCCGTCCATGGCGTCCATGCAGTATGCATTCACCGAGGACCAACTGCATGAGCCAATGGACGAGTCTCCCTAGTCTCGTTTGGCCATATACTTCGGCCCCAAATGTGTCAGCTATTGTATTCATCCAGAGTTATATACGAGGTTATAGTCTGGTTAAGGCCCCCTTAAACAGTTGGGGCCACTACTATTCTTTGTTTGAGTCATGGTTTTGAGCAAAAATAAAATAATATTGTGTGAGTGTATCTAGCTTGAGTAACGCATTATGCATAGCCACCATTGAGAAGCAGAGGGTACCAGGTTGAAGACCTGTTTGGAAGCGGTAGGAATTAGTTCCAGCCGTGCTGCGACTCACAGTTAATAGGGAAATCGTGTCCTGGAACGAGGGTAACATGGATGCAGTTAATACTGGAAAAACGAGGACGGTTAGTTCCGACCCACAGAGCTCTTAGCTGCAGTATAAAAGTTAGAGGGGGGGGGGGGGGGGAACACCAGATGAGACGAAGACCAAAGATTCATCTCAAAACACGGAAACAGCAGGGTTTTTCTGCTTCTGAGGTTGCGTTGAATCGTGTGTTAGGCGAGAAATGCTGTGTCTTAATGTCATCATGCGCATCTGCTGTGCATGAAGTAGAAAAATGTACTCTTGATAACCACATCTTTTGAACCAACCAATTTGACTTCCCGGGAGCCGAATTGTGCACTCTGGAGGGGTTTGCTGCCCCAGTTCACGGACACTTCCTCACTCAGCGAGGCTGCAAGTATTGAGAGAATTGCAAATTCTACCATCTAGAAGTTAAGTACCTAATTTAAAATAATTGAAAACGCTCGACATTAATAAGACCCTTTCATTGTCGCTTCAGGTCACAATCATAGTTCTAATGTGTTTTTTTCTTTTCTTTTAGAAATTTCGTGTTTGTTCAGGAGAGAATGTAGCGGCTCATTATCAATATCAGCCGCAGTACGTCAAGAATAAGCCCGCATCACACTTTACACAGCAAGGCCATTGTAAGCACGACAATCCACAGCACTATGCACAGCTGTAACATGGGCCCAAACACCATCGCACCCTACACAACCATCATAGACACGGTGCATAGCAATACAAAAATGAACAATACAAGGAACAACAGAAGCAACGAAAAGCACCACAGCACATGGCCTCCGAATAGCCAATGGACACCTCGGAGCCGTGCATGGCGCCCATTCAGTATGCATACAAACAGGACGATCTGAATGACTCCATTGACGTAGTCAGCTGTAATTACGTTCGCTGTTCTAGTCTGGGGCAAGGCCCCCTATAAACAGTTGGGTTAACCACTGTTCTTTGTTATCGTCATGATTCTTAAAAAAATTGAAATCTTATTTGAGATTATATCTGGCAAATCTAACTCATTGTGCATAGCTAGGGGAAGTAGAGCTGTGTTGACCCTGGATAGCGACAGAGGTTACAGAAGAAACCTCTTTTTCATTGCCCCGGGTATTAAAATATTATTTTCACACCTACGTTCCACCACAAAACAGCAGTTGTGTCGAAAGTTTCGTGATGATGGGACAAGTCCTTGATTGAACGGAAGGATAAAGGTTAAAACAGGCTCAGTTCTGCCCTGCCAGATACGAGGATTTATGGGGATCATCACGGCAAATAATTCTTTAAAACAAATGTAAAACGTTGTGGATTCAACGTTACGCAAAGAGGAAAGCAGAGTGAGGAAATCAAATTTCAAAGAGATGGCTGCGACAGCTACATCAAAAACGAAGCGAGCACGCGCGGTTCAGACCAAATTTACAGTCGGGGTCGAATCGTAGCAGATAGGATGTAGACTAAAACTTAGTTTATTGGTTATAATAAAATCGTGGATGCATGTATGGACAGAAGTGTAAATTCTACCAAACAGAACTTAAGAGAGCATATCTGAGAAAACCAGAACATATGTGCAAGTCGATCTCTCAGATTTCGCTCAAATTTTGCAGGTAGGTTTGCTTTGGGGTGTAGATCGATATTCCAAAGCCCACGCGAAATCTTTTGAAGGGACCCATGACATTGGCATACCCCTCAATATTGGCCCAATATTGGCACGATTTATGGGTCTACAAACGAGCCACGGCACAGCGTACAAGAACAAGCTACGAACAAAACTCCATCAAGCCAACATTACCTCACCTTAGAAGAGTTCTTGGGGCAGCACCACTTAGCCACGCCAGCATCCCAGAAGACGAGGGCAATCATCCCTTGACGCCAAACTACAAGCGCTGATAAAACAGCGAGCTACGTCCTCAATCAGCAAACACTAAACACCGGCAGATAGTAGAACACCTCTTCTAGCACTGAGGACATGTCCCCCATCATCCTTTTTGGGTTTTCTTGAAATAAACAATTTTGAATTTTTCCACTCGACCATTCTGAAATACGCCCAAACTCATACCTGCGCAGGAAAGCTCGCCCCTCCGCGACGTCTAGTCAGCAATTTCTACTCCAACACCCCTCCCAACGCTGCAGAACAAAGTGTATTGTTGACTCTGACAAGGAAAAGCAGCGGTGATCACTTGTTACTCCAAACGACAAGCTTCTCCTTGCGCCACCAACATTTTTCGGTGCAACAGTTGATGCAAAAGTGACTGAATTTTTGCGTGTAGTTTTTGGATTTTACTGCCAGAGGAATGATGCAATCACGTGCTTCGTGACACAAGAATGCCAGGTCTCGTAGATCACGGTTCAGCAGTTGTTCCGAGTCACCTTGATCAAGCGCACCTGCACTTGCATGGATCATCCGTTGATCAAGATCGGATCAAGTGCATCTTGATGTCCAGCTCAAGAGCACGCATGTCGTGTTGTAGGCCTTCCAGCCGGGACTTTCCCTCAACATGCAGCACAGAGACTAGGGCGAGTAGGGTCAAATCACGTTGTTCATGACGTAAGAAATCTGCCATGTGGGCGCGCTACATACCCCATGCAACCAGTGTAGGCCGCGCGCTGGTCAACTCCAAGCGTCCTTGATGGCATATGCGCATGGACAATGGTCATTCCTTGCTGTTGCAGATCTACGTGGATCATCAGCATGTAAACTAGCCGTAGTTCCTGTTGAACCATGTTCGGGATGAGCGAGGTTAGTGTGAAAAAATGCATCCCTGTTCCTACTGCAAGAGGAAATATCTCAAAGAATTCTTGCCAATGCAATACTGCTAGTGCTATAACGATAGTTTCTGAATGTTCTGAGCAGAGCATGCAAGAAATATAATGCATCTTACCTCCTCCCTCATGGTCCGTTTCGAATAGCGCCTCGGGAACGATCGTGATCATGTGCATTGTGTCGTGCAACAGAAAGCATTATCCTACGTCACGATCCACGTGATTTCTTCATTCCTCTTGCAGTAAAATCCTAAAACTACACGCAAAAATTCAGTCATTTTTTCATCAACTGTTGCACCGAATTATGTTGGTGGCGCAAGGAGAAGCTTGTCGTTTGGAGTGACAAGTGATCACCGCTGCTTTTCCTTGTCAGAGTCAACAATACACTTTGTTCTGCAGCGTTGGGAGTGGTGTTGGAGTAGAAATTGCTGACTAGACGTCGCGGAGGGGCGAGCTTTCCTGCGCAGGTATGAGTTTGGACGTATTTCAGAATGGTCGAGTGGAGAAATTCAAAATTGTTTATTTCCAGAAAACCCAAAAAGGATGATGGGGGACATGTCCTCAGTGCTAGAAGAGGTGTTCTACTATCTGCCGGTGTATAGTGTTTGCTAATTGAGGACGTAGCTCGCTGTTTTATCAGCGCTTGTAATTTGGCTATTTTCAAGACGATCATTTGTGGCGTCAAGTTATGATTGCCCTCGTCTTCTGGGATGCTGGCGTGGCTAAGTGGTGCTTCCCCAAGAACTCTTCTAAGGTGAGGTAATGTTGACTTGATGGAGTTTTGTTCGTAGCTTGTTCTTGTACGCTGTGCCGTAGCTCGTTTGTAGACCCATAAATCGTGCCAATATTGGGCCAATATTGAGGGGTATGCCAATTTCATGGTTCCCTTCAAACGATTTTGTGCGGGCTTTGGAATGTCGATCTACACCCCAAAGCAAACCTACCTGCAAAATTTGAGCGAAATCTGAGAGATCGACTTGCACATATGTTCTGGTTTTCTCAGACATGCTCTCTTAAGTGTAATTCCATAACAATAGAAGAGGGAAAGTAATTCGGGCGGACACATCCATTCCCATAGCGCTGCACAACACACCCGAAGCAGGTCCGTTATTTTTACAACGTTTCGCTACTCGGCCATCGTCAGGTAATAACAATGATTACCGTTGAAGCCACGCAAGAGCAGTATAAACGCAGAGTGTAGCGCCAAAAAAGAAGCGAATTATGTCACCTAGTATGCAGAAGGGGGAGGGGACAGAGAGAGAGAAAGAGAGAGAGAGAGAGAGAGAGAGAGAGAGAGAGAGAGAGAGAGAGAGAGAGAGAGAGAGAGAGAGAGAGAGAGAGAGAGAGAGAGAGAGAGAGAGAGAGAGAGAGAGAGAGAGAGAGAGAGAGAGAGAGAGAGAGAGAGAGAGAGAGAGAGAGAGAGAGAGAGAGAGAGAGAGAGAGAGAGAGAGAGAGAGAGAGAGAGAAGGTGCAACTACCACATCACGGAGACAAAGGAGCAGAAGGTAGCGCGCACTGTGAAGTGTGGGAGCGTGCCACGGTGTTAAGCAGAGTGTAGCGCCAAACAGAAATAATGATGCGAGTTATGTCACCTCTATGCAGAGGGCCAGAGAAGGTGCAACTGTGGACATCACGGAGAAGAAGAGCGCGTCATTGTGCTCTGCGAAGTGAGGGTACATACCAAATAATGATGGTGTTAATTCTAGCACATTAAAGGAGGGGAGCACCGAGGCCCATGAGCCAAAGCACTATGAATTTAATCACAGAATGTGTGAGAAAAGCAGACAACTGCGAAATCTCACGCTTCCATGCCAAACTGTTACCACCAGGGACACGACCAGGCTTCAGGAACAGAATGGATTTGAGTGACCCGCCTCATATTATCTTCAGAGATATTGAGTAGCAGCAGGGGAAGCTGAGAAATTTCACAATAACTGGTTCGGATGTGATGTGCAGCGCTATAGGAATGGTTGTGTCCTCCCGAATTATTTTCATAGATGAAACTGCAGGAAGCCAATGCCCTTCTTTAAGAATAGAAAAGGGTCGACGTTAATCAGACCCTTTCATTGCTGCTTCACGTCCCAATCCCAACCTTGTGCTTATTTCTAATTGACA